AGGAAAGAAGGCAGATTTTTTTATTTTCTCATTCTGTAGGGTTGCTCGGTTGGCGTTTTGGTTCGTATTATTATCCTTGTGAATAGCAGCAGCAACACATTCTCAATCATGACACTGACAGCCTCTTGTGGGGCGATTTACTTCACGGAGACGCCGGTGGAGAACATCATCACACTCACGTGGCAGGTGAAGGAGGGCGGGGAGGCGCCGGCGCCGTGCAGCAGCGTGATCTTTAAGGTGAAATCCTCCGCGCCCAAGCTGTTCTACGTGCATCCGCGCTACGGGGCGTTGCTCCTCGCGGACGCCGCGGGCCGGCCACGAGATGCGAGTGGTGTGCAGGTGACCTTCGGCCTGCGCCCGGTGGCGACCGACGCGCTGAGCGACGTTGCGGCAACAACTGCGCCGCCCACCGAAATGTCCCCCGTCGGCGGCGGCGGCAACGGCTACCATGAGCGGATTGTTATTGAGTCTTTGTACATCCCCGGCGACCGCGTGGTGTACGAGCGGCTCTCGCAGGGCCTTGCCGCGGGTGTCCACCTGTCGGATTTGGTGCGAGGCGTGTGGGACGCCGTCGCGGGGGGCGCCCACTCGGCGGTGCGGGGGGGCCCCATCAGCCTCAAGGTGTACACGGACGGCGTCACGACGGACGCCGGCAGGAAGGGCGAGGGCGTGGTGGTGGTGCCGCCCACCGCGAGGCTGGTGCGGCCGTCGCTGCGGGAGCAGATTTCGGGCCGCCTGTCGGGGACGCTGGCGCACGGCGGCGTTTCCGCCCCCGCCCCCGCCTCCGCCTCCGCAGCAGCGTCCGACAGGCAGTTCCGAGGCACCGAGCCCAGTGAGCTGCGGGCGCTGAAACTTGGCATCGACGCGCTGCGGCATGAGCCCAATACGGCCCCCGCTGCCGCAACGGAGGAGGCCACGTACAATAGCAGTAGTAGGAACATCCCACGCCCGCGTTCGAGCCACGCGGAGACGGATATTCTCATGCGTATGCCGCAGCTAGACGCTGTTGCGCCCAAGGGGTCCAAAGACGGCTTTCCACTATTAATGGTGCTTGCGGCAATGTTTTGCACGTACGTGATAACGATGCTGCTCTGGCGCACCATTTAAAGTGCATTAACACACATGCGTATATACGTGGATTTTATGTACATATATATTTATATATTTATATGCATATATGTTGTATTCTATTATATTTATATATATATATGTATATGCTTCTCAGTAACGTGCCCAAGTAGGAGGGCGTATCTCGCTGTGGGGAATAAGCTAGGAATCCAAAGAGGCAAACACACGTTGCGTGCATAAAGAACTAAAGACAAAAAAAAAAGTAAATTGGTTCCCCGGGGCGGTGAGAGGTAAAGGGGGAGCACTGTTTCAGAATTCTTGTCTGCCGCAAGGAATCCGTGTTTTTTTTTTTTTGATCCACGAGAGGAGGGTGTCAGTTAACAGGAAAGGGGCGTGATTGCACGTCAAATATTTTGATTGGGAGAATCGTTTTGCTTTACGCTGAGGGATCCGCGCGCTTCGGGAAAGAAGTGCGTTGCCCGACGGCGGGGGATTCCGTGGGATGATGGTGGGTCCTGCTTAACTCCTCCCCTCTTTTTTTTTTCTTTTACTGTTGTTGTTGTTTTGGTGACGTGCTATCGGTGCCGCGTCGTGTGTGTGTGTGGGGGGAGGGGGGAAGGGGGGCTGGCGCGAGGGCACACCTGTTTTCCCTTCTCTTTCCTTCCTCGTGTGTGAGTGCGTGTGCGTGCCTTTCTGCCCTCCACGCAGGCGCGGTCGGGCGGTTGCGGGTCCCAAGTGCGTGGCTGGGCGTTTGGGCGGGCCGCCCGCCGGGTTGTGGCGGGGCGATGCCGACCACCGTGAAACGGGCCGTCGTCCCAGTCCCGCCGTGTGATTCCTGCTCCCTCGCCCTGCAGTCAAGGCAAAAAAAAAAAATTGTTTTCTTTCTTTTGTTTTCAGCGCTGTTTTTTTTTTTTTTTTTCTTTTTTTTCCCACTTTATCACTTGCCGCTGCTAGTACCGTTGTGCTTTCGTTCCCTGCCCTCTTATGGGCGTCAGTTATTTCTGCACGTCCCTCTGCGTGTGTGTGTGTGTGTGTGTCATGTGGATGCGCTTGGGCGCCACGCCTCTTGTGTGCAGGTGCGAGGGATTCTACCCTCCCGCCTCCGTTCCGTCTCGTCTCTCCGCCCTGCGCTGAGATGCCGTCCTGCGTCTTCTTTCTGCTTCCTTGTCTTGTGGATGTATACGTGCGTGCGCGTGTGGTGCCACGCCAAGTGAGGGAAAACAAAAAAAGGGAGCACCGCCCTTCGCCCCAGGGCCGAAGCAGCAACAGCCGCAGCCTCAAACAATCTCTATCTATCTCTCTGTTGGCATACGCCCTCTCTCTCCGCAGTGGGCTGACTGCGTTGCACGCTTGAAGGGGCGATAAAAAAAAAAAAAAGAAGCAGGAGGAAAGAAGGCAGATTTTTTTTTATTTTCTCATTCTGTAGAGTTGCTCGGTTGGCGTTTTGGTTCGTATTATTATCCTTGTGAATAGCAGCAGCAACACATTCTCAATCATGACACTGACAGCCTCTTGTGGGGCGATTTACTTCACGGAGACGCCGGTGGAGAACATCATCACACTCACGTGGCAGGTGAAGGAGGACGGGGAGGCGCCG